CGCCTGCCTGCCTGCCTTTGCTTCTCAGCTCTGCCCGCCGCCGCCGCCGCCAGAGATCCCGGACCCTGCCTTTCCCACCTCGCTCGATCTGGGCCTGATCCTCCATCGACGCCCGCCCCACTCAGCCTGCCCCACGCTCGCCATCGCCATCGCCATCGCCATCGCCATCTCATCCCTTCATCCTCTTCCAGAGCCCCGGTAGCAGCCACCTTTCCGACGCGCTCTCGACCTCGCCCTCGACCTCGACCTCGCCCTCGCCCTTTTCCACCGCGTTGACAATATCCTAGTCATCTGCCCGCCACATCCACGCATTCACCACTCTAGCGCGTGCACCACTTTCGAATCCCAGCACGGATCACGCCGCGCGCCTCGCTCCATCGCCTCGCCCCTCGTCTTCGTCCTCGTTCCCGTCCTGCTGGGCCGCCCTCGCTCGGCCGTCTTCGCGGCGCCTTCCTAACACCACCATGTCCAACGACAAGACCATTTTCAAGGTGAGCCCACCGCCCGTTGGCATGGCTCGCGCCTGCTCTATGGCCCCGCCCCCGTCCACTCACTCACTGGTCTTGTTCGCGCCGTTGCCTCACCGCTGCTGCTGCTCCCCCTCCTCCTCCACGCTCCCCTCCGCACGCAGGCCACCTACTCGGGCGTGCCCGTGTACGAGTGCATCATCAACAGCGTCGCAGTCATGCGACGCCGCTCCGACAGCTGGCTCAACGCGACCCAGATCCTCAAGGTCGTCGGCCTCGACAAGCCACAGCGCACCCGCGTCCTCGAACGAGAGGTCCAAAAGGGCACCCACGAAAAGATCCAGGGCGGCTACGGAAAGTATCAGGGTGAGTGCAAGGCCAGCACCTGGGCTTCCCGTCCGATTCGACTCTGATCCCATACCCTCCCCACCCCCTGCATCTCGTCCCCACTCGCGTCATCTTCCCTCGGCGACGCCCGCCGCAGGCACTTGGATCCCGCTCGAGTCGGCCATCGAGCTCGCCGAAAAGTACAAGATCGAGGGCCTCCTCCACCCCATCACCTCCTACGTCCCCTCGGCAGAATCACCTCCGCCCGCTCCCAAGCACACCATCTCGGCCGCCGGACGCGCAAAGAAGGCCGCTGCTGCCGATGCCGCCGCCCTCGGCCGCTCCAGGCGCGCCACCAGCCTCGAGACTGACTCCGAGATTGCCTCGGCCGCAAAGGTCGACGTGTCCGAGGGAAGCATCAGCCCTCCCCCGAGCGACATCAGCAGCTCCTCGCGCACCCCGAGCCCCATCGCCGCGGACCGCATCGCCAGCCTGTACAGCGCCAACGGCTACAGCGCCAGGGAGACGAGCATGCAGGCGCGCTACGCCGACATGATCCTCGACTACTTTGTCACCGAAAACACCACGGTGCCCTCGCTCCTCATCAACCCGCCCGCCGACTTTGACGCAAACATGAGCATCGACGACGACGAGCACACGGCGCTCCACTGGGCCTGCGCCATGGGCAGGATCCGCGTCGTCAAGCTCCTCCTCTCGGCCGGCGCAGACATCTTCCGCGTAAACACCAACGGCCAGACGGCCCTGATGCGAGCCACCATGTTCTCCAACAACTACGACCTGCGCAAGTTCCCCGAGCTCTTTGAGCTGCTGCACCGCAGCATCCTCAACATCGACCGCAACGACCGCACCGTCTTCCACCACGTCGTCGACCTCGCCCTCAGCCGAGGCAAGCCGCACGCCAGCCGATACTACATGGAGACGATGATCAACCGGCTGGCCGACTACGGCGACCAGCTGGCCGACATCCTCAACTTCCAGGACGACGAGGGCGAGACGCCCCTGACCATGGCGGCGCGCGCGCGCTCAAAGAGGCTCGTCCGCCTCATCCTCGAGCACGGCGGCGATCCAAAGATCCGCAACAAGGAAGGCAAAAACGCCGAGGACTACATCGTCGAGGACGAGCGGTTTCGATCCAGCCCATCCCGGATCGGCCCAGCGGGCGTAGAGATCGGCGCCGACGGCCTGCCCGCCGTCGCCACGTCGGCCATGCACACGTCCGAGGCGGGCCAGCGGACGGCGGGGAGGACCATCACGCTGATGAGCACGCTGCTCCACAGCCTCGCCGACAGCTACGACAGCGAGGTGGGCGCCGCCGACCGCAGGCTGACCCAGGCCCACGGCCTGCTCAAGCAAATACAGAACGAGATTGAGGAGAGCGCGCGCGTCGCCGAGGGCCTCAACGACGAGGCCAAGGGCGTCGAGGCGGAGCGCAAGACGGTCGAGCAGCTCGAGGGGGCGCTCAAGGCCGGGCTCGGAAAGAGGAACCGCGAGCTGATGGAGGCCGACTGGCAGCAGGGCAGGGAGGCCATCAAAAAGGCCAGGACCGAGACGGGCACCGCCGACGGCAAGCTGGTCGAGAGCAGCTTGTCCAACGTGGCCAGCACCGCCGCTGCCGAAGAGCAGGACCCCAAGAAGCTGATCGCGGGCCTGGCCAAGGGCAAGGACATCAAGTCTGCCATTGCCGAGCTCAAGCACCAGCTGGCCGAGGTCCGGGCGAAACGGAGCGACCTGGTCGACACGTTTGTCGCCCGGGCACGCGAGCAGGGGACGGGAAGGACCATGGCGGCGTACCGCAGGCTGATCGCCGCGGGCTGCGGTGGCATCGCGCCGGACGAGGTGGACGCGGTGGTCGGCGTTCTCTGCGAACTGCTCCAGGAGGGTCAGGGCGGTGCTGCCGCCGGTGCCGGTGCCGGTGCCGGTGCCGGTGCCGATGCTGCGGCAGGCAGGGGAGCCGCGGGNGGCGGCCGGAGAGACGACGCGCGCGCGCGACNCGACGCGCGCGCG